TTTTTTTATAACATAAGGTGGCAAACGAGCAACAGGTCACCTGAATACGCTAAAATGGCGAAGCGACCGCTGCCCATAGACATCTGTAATTGCAGATGCTTTGCCTACCCTTATGCGACGGAGGAGAAGACGCACATAAAGAGGATATTTCCCCTTCTTATGCATCTCCTCTATCTATCTCATACATGAGTTGTGTCAGTGAAAAAATACAGATAGTTTATGTAGTTTCTATTTCTGTTTTACTCTACTTAGTGATTTATTATGTTATTTGAGACATACATAGTGATGATACATGTTACTAGGTCACAGCCAATGTAGTACATACTCGTATTTCGAATAAACAATTGTTATGTAAATAGATTATTTTTTATCTTTTTAGTGAATCGTAATAAAAATACAAAAACATGTCTGTTTTTCACCTAACTTTGTTGTTTGTTTCATATTGACAATATTATACATCCCAGTAATGCACTATTATGCAAAGAAATTTAATATTTTAAATTATGTATTGAATGGTTTGAATTTAGCAGATTTATTTTCTGTCTACTATTAGTATTTCATATTTAAAAAGAGCGCAAGGATAAAAGAAATTTATACACATTATCGGAGTAAACTCTGGTCTAATTAACGGATATCAAGCAGTGTAGATATTAAGCCCAATGTTAAGCCACAAGACGGCACAGATGAAGATATGCCTTAAAGTACATCTCAACCATAAGATTAAGGGATTGCGGTGGCGTCTAATCCAGTAGGATACAGCCGCTGCGGTAGGTAGGTATTTGTCGGGAATCCTGACTCGAATTCCGAAACGCTTCCTTAATAGCATACTTGAATGTTTGTTTTCATTGTATCGTGACGTCATTGTATTTTACATTACGATAACCTTTGTCTCGAAAAGCAATTAAATTTAATGATATGAATTTTTATAATATTAAATGGGTGACATTTGATCTTTGTTATACTGTTTTGGTTAAATGAATATTTTTTAAGAAACTTTGCCACATCGAGAATCAACAAATTTAGATATATTAAAAATATAACTCCCATGTTATATCTTGTTTTCCATGCTTAATGTTGTTATTGTACTAATATAAAACAAACTACTCAATTTGCATATCAAAACGTCTTTTATAAGAAACTTTAAGAATGTAAAATAAAAAGTATTATTCGTACAATAGCGGCATTCCGTAATGTAATCTCATAAAAGAATATAACACATTGAATGGGACATTTAAATTCAAATTACATTGTCATGGTAAATTAAGTGCGGTAATTTAAATGAAAACATGACACGGTATCGTTGACGTGTGATAATGGAC